GAAGAGTCTAGAGCTGGGGCTGTAGAAGGGAGTGATCAAACTCTTTGCTTAAGAAGGTAGACTATGTCAGGGATGATTTTTTTTAAAGGGGGGGCGGGTATTGTCTTCCTTTTCTCTCTCTCTCTTAAAAACACAAGTCCTGTCCAACCATACAAACTCTCTTCAGCTTCTCAGCCTTTCCTTTTGAGAGGTATTTTCCTAAACAGCATCAGAAGTGGGGGGGAATTTGGAGATCCCAAGGAATCTGGGACAGCTCTTTCTGGGCAGGAAGTTTCTTTCAGCCCTCTCTCCATCATCTCCAAGGAAAGAAGGGGGAGGGGTGTCTCCCAGGGCCCGGTTTCCCAGGATGGAGGTCCCCATTTGGCTTCCCCCTCAAGCCCCTTTGCATCCTATGGAGACTTTATCAAGGAAATGAAGGGAAAGGACTTGAAAAAGTTTTGCCCGTAGCCTGGGCACCCGAGGGAGGCTGTCAAACCAGTCAAACCAGGAGTTCCTCCAGAAATGTTTCTACAGGGCTCCTGCTGCATAACTCCACACACCCCCGCCCCCCATCCCTGGGAAAAAAATAATAATAATAAAAGGAAATGGAGGGGAAAGGTACTGAACAACCCGAGCTACCTACCAGGAGAACAGGAAGGAGAGTCTTGGGTGCTGTGGTCCCGAGGGCCCAGGTGAGCCAAGGGAAGCTTCAGAGACAGATCCCGCCACCACAGTAGGAAGAAAACCTCGCCAACACAACGGAGCTGGAGGCCCAAAAGTACAGCCATCAAGCGAACCGCTGGCCTGCAAGGGTTCCCTCAATTGGCAGCCAATGGCCAGAAGCTTCCAATCCGGATTTGTTCAGGAAGGTCTCCCCTCCTGCCAGGCTTCGATTCCCAGCCTGGACCAGAAGACTGGCTCCCCTGTTTCTGGTTGCCTTCGTCCCAAGGAGGAACTTGCCTCTTGCACGCAGCAGAAACCCCAAAGCGTCTTGGCGCACCTTAACCAACGTAACCGATTTTTTTCGCTTTGCCTCTTGGCATTAAACTATATATTTTTTCCCCTTTTCTGAGAAAAACCTACGTAGAAAGATGAAGCTGTTTATCTGGTGAAGTCCCCCCCCCCTCGCCCAAAAAAACAAAAAAATAAAAACAGGCAAGCGAACTTACTTGACGTTGGGAAACGTTGTTCTCGCCTGGACTAGCCCGCTATAGGAAACCTTTCAAGTTACGGGAAGGAGGGGAAACGAAGTAGGCAAGGCTTGGCTGAGACTTCACCCTGCCTGCTTTTCTCTGGAGTTATTTTGGTGACAGCACCGACCGATAAAGCGCATTGAATCTGCCCGAAGCCCAACTATCCCCGCTTGCCTCCCCCTCCCCTCCCCGCGCGCCTCCCCACCCACCCGGCTCTATTACGAGGGAAAATTTCTTTACAAAGAGCCGAAACAGGGGCGATGCCTTTAAGTTTGTCTAAGGCGCGTTGAGAGGGAACACGTTGAGAGACTTCGCTCGGGTCACCGGGGGCTCAGAGGTCAGCCTGAGCCGTTAAGAATAAAACTGCTGGCCTAGAAAAGTTGTCCTCTGAATGAACCCACTTTTTCCCCCCTTTCCCCCCTCGAACTTCAATGAAGTACCTTTCAGGCTCTCGACGTGGAAGCTGAGAAAGAGGAGAGTAAAAGGGAAGAGGGAGGTGGGTAGGGTGGGGGCTTTGTATCTCTTTAACTTTCTTTTCTCTTCTCCACCTCTCACTCCATACCTCCTCTCGGCTTGCCTTTATAATCATAATCTATGGGGGGGGGGGGGGGGGGAATTATGTCATGGCCAAGTCTAAAGGCTAAATTAGATGATTTAACAATAAATATTAAAAGCCATTGCAGAAGGGCAGATTGCAGAGGATGGAAAGGGAACTTCAGGAGGAAAATAAAATAATGCAGGAGAGGATGGGGGAAGGGATAGAGGACTATACATATTATGCAGCCGCATATTTAAATAAGAGGTTTGTTGAAAGGTTTTAAAAAATGGAATATGCAGACTATAGAGTTGCAAATGTGATCGATCACACACACACACACACACACCCCTTTCCCCCCCTCCCTGGCTTCATAGGCAGGCCCAGAGAATGCCCCCAATGCAAAGTCCCTCCACATTCAGAAACTGTTCTTGGTGACAAGGTATCGAAGTGTGGTGTGTATGTGAGAGAAAGGAGGACGTTAAAACAAACCATCTAGTGCAATACAGACACATCCATATAGTCAGAACACTTAATGGTTTAAGTATGAGATATCACTGGGGTGGGTGGGGTGTTAGAGGTTTGTTTGTTTTTTTGCAAAACTGTGACCTTTCATTTTTACCATGAAAATCTATTGAGAACTTTGGATTTTTTTTGTACCCCTTTATTTTTACCCTTTATTTCACAGAGGGCCTAGGTATGAAAAGTGTGTATTTACGTTGGTAAAGCCTTTGAGAAAAATGAGTGTGTTTGTCTTCTTACACCAATAGGCCAACAATAGTATACTTGAATTCTTTTTTTAAAAAAACTGGGCAGCTGATAAACATACACAGTTGAAGCATTAAATATGTAGCTGAGGTCTTATGCATGCACAGTAAATCTGTGTTCAATGGCATTTCCTCAAAAGTTAGTCTGCCCAGGACTGCAGTCTGAATGCTTATCTATTTCCCTCTCTTATAATCTATAAAATAAGGTGGACAAAGAGGCCTGATAGTGTGATAAGGAAACGTTTTAATTTACAATTCCCATACACTCAACACGTAAATCTGTATTTTTTACTGGGAATAAGTAAAAATAATGCCATAGATTTTCGCCTGGCTGTTCTGTCAATCATCTCTTCAATATACATCAGATGGATTGAACAAGTAACAGGCTGAACTGTCATCCTCTTCAGCTGGACCTCAAGTTTCTTTGTGAAGTGGTTTGTAAATTAATCTGGATGATTACTACTAGGTTTAATTATGCACCATTTGAAAACCACAAAAGTTCTATATTAACCTGAATGGAATGGTTGAATAATCTGAATATGCCTGTCAGTCATTTCCTGGGTGTTCCATAGGCCTTGGATGCTAAACTGATTTTCTTCATCATCAGGCTATAATAACATGCCCTTAAAAAAATCATTTCCCAAATCTTTCAAACTCCTGAAATGTATATATATATTGTTGTATGATAGCCCACAATTTTGCACACAATTTAAATGTAACAGTCATATATACAAATAAATTGATTCTTCTACTCTTGCAATCTAACTAAGTTTTGCTTTCAGGCTGTTAAAAGATTTACCCAATGCAAGTAAAAATCTCAGGCACTGCTATCTAAAAGAAGAGTTGAAAAGCATAATTTGATCACCTAGTTATTTTTCCATTTTCAGGGCCTGCTGATCAATAGGATAATCAGTGCACTTAAAAAGGCACTTGCTAAAGTATCTATCTTATCTATCTACAATCACAGTAGAAGTATTCCTTGTGCAAACACATCTGTGCTACATTTTTTCCCAGTCACCCTTTCTGTTTCCCCTCAGAAAGTAAACATCTCCAGATTCTCTACAGGATTACTCTTTCTCTCTAGCATCTCCAATATATGCTAGAAACTTAAAGTACAATAACAAGGGGTAAATTTGAGCTAAAGTTGTTTAGGCAGCAAAAGAAAGCAATTAACTCGATAACATGATTAAACCAAGGGAAAGACGCTCATGTACCTATAAAAATTTAAAAGACACGTTTAAAAAAAAAGTAATGCACAAACACATCCTGAATCAGCTGAATCTATTTCTAATCAAACATATGTGTGTGTGTGTGTGTACCTCCAGGGCAAAGATTGCCTGGTAAAGTGTGAGTTCAAAGAAAGTGCCCATCTTGTGATGTCACAGAGTAGAAGGAGTGCAAGCCACAATTCCTAAAATCAATGGCAGATTGACAATTAGCTTCCATGGCCCTAGAAGACTTTCAAAAAGAAAAAAATACCCCATACCTAACTATGGAAAGTTCTTCAAACTTAGATTTAAAAAGGGTCTTTTTTACTCAGGTAATTCTGCCCCTGCCTATTCTCCCAGCATTTTATTTTATTTTTTAGTAGCAGGCAAAAAAGCAAAACAACTCACCAAACATTCCAGAGTCAGTCTGTGTCACACTCACTGTTTTGTTTTGTTTTGTTTTATTGAACAAGGGGACTTTCACATATACACTTAAACTCCTTTATTGCAGGTTTACAATGATCATGTAAAATTAGTCCAAAAACACAAGAACCACCACGAAAAGCAAAACAAAAAACAAAAAAACCTACCCAGATTTCCCCCCCTTCAATTCACTGTCTAGCTTGCTCTCCTTATCTCTTGCTGCTCACATTGAACTAACCAGACATTTATTAGTTTCTACTAGCTCCTGTGTGCCGTCCCCACTTTTTGTAAAAAAAAAAAAAACAAAAAAAAAATCTTTCTTCGCATTTATACAAGAAAAGGAAGAGGGGGAGGGAAGCCTTCAATGGTCCTCTTTTTTTTTGTTCTCCATGTGTAAACTCAGAGAGCAAAATAATTACATTCTTTCCTTGCCTGTATAATTATTAGCATATGCCCCGATTTTTCATCTAAAACAGAACATTTAGTTCCACAACCCAACACGCACACGCTTATATACATACACACATCCCCATGCAGACACATCAGCATACACAGCCCATCCTTCCATTCTTTCCTTTTTTAAAAAATAAATAAAACCCTGAAAATGGTGATTAAAAAACCCCCCCAACAGGTATGCCACCTGGCCTCTCATGCTAATAATACATGCACCTAAAGCTTGAGATCTCCAAGAGACCTCATTCTTTTGTGTATGTGTATGTATGTGTTTCTCTCTCTCTCTCTCTCTCTCTCTCCTAAATATATATACACACACACGCACGGGAAAACTACGAGGAAAAAAAACCCAAAATATATAGATATATATTAGATTCTATAAATAATCAAGAGTCAATTTGCATGGGGCGTTTTTTGTTGTTGATGTTGTTGGCTGGTTTGTTTATAACCTTGTAATATCCTCTGCTCGTGGCTCCTGAGCTGAGCTCTGCGAATGATCTTCGCCAGCAATCGCGTTGGAAGAAGAAGCGGGCAAGGAGCCGGCCGAGGAATTTGCCGGAGCCGTGGATCTCACTTTGGTATTGGGCAGTCGGTGGTCTTTTTTCCATTTCATCCGCCGGTTCTGAAACCAGATCTTGATCTGTCTCTCCGAGAGACATAAGGAATGGGCAATCTCGATGCGCCTCCGCCTCGTCAGGTATCTGTTATAGTGGAACTCTTTTTCTAATTCCAAGACCTGCTGACGGGTGTAGGCAGTCCGGGACCGCTTAGGCTCGCCTCCATTGTAATTAGGGTTCACTGGAGAAAACAAACAAACAAGCCAAACCAAACCAAAGATTCGCATGGATGCAAGGAAGCGGGGGAAGAGGGGGGAAGGGTGGGAGACAGAGAAAAGAGCCAGCGAGATCTCCGGTGGCTCAGGGCGCCGAAAGAGAGAGGAGGAGGAGAGGGAGAGCGAGATCGAAAGAGGGAGAAAAAGGGGAAAGGGGGGGGGGGGAGAGAGAGAGAAAGCCACCCGCCTACTGGGTTATAAAGAACCCAAGACTTTTTGCTCCTAAGAAGAAGAAGAAGGGGGTTTCCTTGGCTTGGGAAGAGCCTGAATTATTTATGCACCCCTCTCCAAGCCTTTGGAGTTTCACACATACATAACAGAACGAACCACATGGCTGGGGCTGCCCAGACTAGCTCGGCTATAAAATTTATGGTGGGTGTAATTACCCGCTTGGAGTCGTAAATCCAGCTCAATTGTGCTAACCCAAAGACTCTCGTCGAAGGCAAAGGAGGAGACGGGGGGAAAAGGGGAGAGAGGGAGGGAGAGGGAGCCTGAGAGCTTGGTGGGAAAGGGGGGGGCGCAAACACACACACACACACACGTCTACACACACACACATCCGAGAGAAAAGGAGCAGAGGAGGAAAAGTTGCCTACCAGTACTGACGTGGATTTTTTTCATCCATGGGTAGACTATGGGTTGCTTAGAGGCCGTGCTGCTGGGATGCTCGGGGTTTTGCTGGTTGCAAGCTGGAGGGGCTGGGGAAGGAGAGGTAGCCGCGCTGGAGAGAGCCGTTTGGTCACAGAGCTGCTGCGCTTTCTCGGGGAGATGGTGGCCTCCTCCGGGCGTCTGTCCATGGCCCCGTGGATGCGCGGAGGGGTTGCCGGGACCTTGGAGGCTGGCACAGCTGTACTGGCGCTCAGGGTAGCTGGGTCGCTGTGGAGGAGGAGGAGGAGGTGGTGGTGGAGGTGGAGGGTACAATTCCTGGTGATGATGCTGGAAACTGGACTCCCTAGTCCGACTGTAATATTCCGGACTGTGGTCTGGGATGTAATTATTTTGCGAATATTCTTCGCATGGAGGAAATTTCGGATCGATGTAGTTAGAGTCCATCAAATACGAGCTCATGATCATTAATTTCTGGAGTGGAAAATAATTTTTCTCGCTTTGTCGTTTTTCTGCTCCATAAAACCCTCCTACTAGCTGGCGACCCCGTAAAGTTACTTTCACCATGTGACTCGTTGCGCCAATCACGCCAGCCGCGCTAGTCCCCGGATAAGGAACCAAAAGCTTATTCAAAGTGTATGCAATTTGTGTGCTCGCGCGAGTGTGTGTGTGTACACGAGCGTGTGCGTGTGATCTTCTTGTTTGGTCGGTGGTCTCTCTCTCTCTCTTCCCTCCCTCAATTCCGAGCAGAAGGGAATTTGGGGGGGGGGGGGGTTAAATAACGTAGGCAACTAGAAATGGCTCTTCTCTTCTCATTGCATTTCCTTCTGTGTGTTTTTTTTTTAAAGGACCACGTCAAGTCAGGAAGATGGTCGAAATAAACTCCATCATTTTTGGCGGAGAGATGGGCATGTAGGAAAAGCTTCTTCCCATTAGGTTTTCCCCGCCCCCACCCTAACCCACCCATCGCCTTTCAGGTACCCAAGCAAGCCCTTTCTTGCACACAACCAAGAATGGAGTGAATCTCGCTTAGGAGAAAACACCCAAGATCTCTTTGCAGTGCGGAGAGAGGAAAGCGCGCTCAAAATTGCTTTGCTTCTTTCACCTTAAAGAAAATCGGGACGGGAGAGGGGGGTGGTGGTGTTGCCTCCTCCTCCCTCCCCTCTTCCCCAGAATCCAGCTAGTATAATTGTCTGCAGAAGCGCCCTCTCTGCTCCTCCCCATAGACCACAAGCTCCCTTCAAGACGCTCGGGCTGAAAAGTAGGAAGAAGTTCAAGATTTGCATGCCAATGATCTGTGGGCGAGAGGGGGGGAGGGGAGACAAAGAAGTCAGTTTACCTGGGAGGGGGGGGGGGGGGGGGGTTTGGGAGAGGAGCGGGGGCATATGCAAATCACCTTTGCGTCCTTTGGAGTGTTCCAGGAATGCTCATTAACCTTTGCTTAAGGGCAATCTGAGGAGTTGCAAGAAGAGCTGGAAACTAAAAGCGGAGGAAGTTCTTCTAGGCAGCCATTGGGCAGGTCCATTGCCCTTCCGAGGGTAAGGAGGAGGAAGGAGAAGGTGACAGTAAGGAGAAACACACAGATAGCTCTCTTCATTTCGATCCGGACTTCAGTCAAAGGTCATGGTTTATATATATATATATATATTATCAGCTGAATACCATATATATACAAAGCTGAATACCATACATGTAAGTGCCCGCGAAAACTTAACACACACACACACA